AAAGTCGTGACATGTCTGTTCAGCCCAAAAAAAAACCCTGTCAACTCTCTCTACACCATTGTACAGGCTGTATCCCAGGCAATGCAGATCAATATTAGGCGATATCGATATTCCGCGAACTTCAGCAGGGTGCGATCACTGTGATGTCAACAGTTTTAAAGAATTCTGTCATTTCTCACATTAAATGTGGTTTCGAACCTCGCAAGGTCGACTGTCAAAAGATAAAATTTAAGCTTATCGAACTACCAGACGAGTGCTTTCACTAAAACAGAACGACGAAGATTGAGAAGAAGCTATGCCTCTGAGCGAGGCTCTGGATTGGAGTGCTAGAATCTCACTTATTAGTAAAATTTCTCAGTGGCACACCGCGTTCTCAAAAACGCCTCATTTCTATGCTCACAGTTACAATTTTAAGCAATTAATTCTCAACGATTGGCTAAGCACTAACCCACTCGAGGAAATATTCTCCCCTAGCTAGTGAAGGCAAACCGTTATTGACAGTTATTCATTTCAGACTCCCTATAAAACTAAATTCGAGTTATGCATGAAGAAAATAAATAAACTGATTGACNCTCAAAAACGCCTCATTTCTATGCTCACAGTTACAATTTTAAGCAATTAATTCTCAACGATTGGCTAAGCGCTAACCCACTTGAGGAAATATTCTCCCCTAGCTAGTGAAGGCAAACTGTTATTGACAGTTATTCATTTGAGACTCCTTGTAAAACTAAATTCGAGTTATGCATGAAGAAAATAAATAAACTGATTGACTAAAGACGGTGAATATTACGGAATGAATGAGCAGCTGGTGGTAGAAGTCAATTTTCAAAATGGTTCATGCGCTTTCCCATAGCTTGAAAGTTCAGAGTGATTCCAGAATGATTCAAGTCTAAACGTCAAACAAACAAAGAAACAAACAAACCCTCAAAACTGTTGTTCCACAGAAGGCCAATTCGAGTCGCTGATACATGGAACTTCTTCAAGCGAACTATATAGCTAAGAAAATGAATTGTTCTCACCGATCGGAAGCTACCTGCATAAAAACGGCTGTAATTCGCAGGCTTTTAGTAGCTACGAGCAGTC